AAATATTGCGAATTTGCAGATATTTTTTGGAATACTTGCATTTGTAAGTCCGCCATATTTGCAAAGTTGCAGACGTTCTGTAATCTCACCCTAAACCGACAATTCCGGAAGCAGAAGCAGATGATTAAAACGCACCTGATATTTTGCTTGCTGCTGTCGGTGTCAGTGAATATTATTTTTGGAGTCACAGTTTATTGCTAAAGAATCAGTTAGCTCACTCGGACCAGTTGAAAGTTCCAAAATAACATCCACTCCAGGGATACAAATTCAGGATACGCAGAAGACTGTTGTTTTATTATAGGCGGTTGTCATATATTGTATTATCCGAGTTGCGCAGTGTATAAACTGGAACATTGAGATCAAAATGGTCGCGCCCTATGTTGGGCGTGTCGGACCTCTCTCTTGCACCGTATAGTAATCAAAGTATGTGGGTTTAGCAGTTAATTATATAATAAGGGGCGAGAGGAACAAATATATTTAAATTCAGTGTCTAGCGGCGTAGGAGAAAGAGGAGTAAAATAATTGATGTATTTTGGCGGAGAATAATGTTAGTTATTTTCCAACAAGCTGATTAAACTCCTATTTACTTTTTGAATATTATGATGATCCATTTAGCTAAGACCATTGTAATTTTTATATGGAAAACTTAGATCATTTATGGTAATCAACATCTTTTTATTATTTTTATTTTATAAAAAGGACCCCGCAATAATCTTATGGAAATTGGGTTTCTGTCAAATTGTATGAATTTTTGATATGTTGTAGATTTTGTCATCCTGAACAAAAGTCTCCATTGGCACAAAGTGCCAAAATGAATATTTTGGCATCTACGGAGCTGCCAAAGCTCCCCTGACCCGTTGCAAAACTATTCATTTTCAATACTATTTACAGATGTCAAAAGCATATTTTAATTATTCTAATATATAGGGTAATGTTTTTGAGGTCACTGGATTCAATCCTCATGCCAGATTGGACAAATTGACCGTTCTGGCCTATAGGTATTGGTAGAAGTGTTCCACACATTTCACAACTGCCAGGAGCTCTCTTCCAGTAACGCAGTAATTTCGCTCAGGTTTCGAGAGCACTTTACTAAAATAACCCAGTACTCTTTCTTTTCCCCCTTGAATCTGTGAAAGCACTCCTCCAATTCCCACATTACTGGCATTAGTATCCAGGATAAATTCTCCCTCTGGTAGTGGGTAGCCTAATATTGGCGGTGTTGTTAAATGCTTCTTTAAAGTTTCGAAGGCAGTTTGGCAGTCTTCGTCCCAGCAGAATTCCCTCGCTTCTTCTGTGAGTCGCGTTAGTGGTTTAGCAATATCTGCAAACTTCTTTATGAATCTTCGGTAGTACGTACAAAGCCCAAGAAAACTTCTTATTAGGGTGTTTGTCCTTTGGTTGTGGCCACTCTTTGATAGAAGCGACTTTTTCCTTATCTACAGCCACGCCATCCTTGCTGACTACATGATCCAGGTAATTAACTTTATTTTGGAATAGTTGGCACTTCTTGGGGTTTAGCATTAGTTGGGCAGCTTGAAGTCTTTTAAAAACATCTTCTAAGTTCTTTAGATGTTCATCAAATGTTTTCCCAAAGACTATTATGTCGTCTAAATAAACCAGGCATGTTTTCCAGGATAACCCTCTCAATACGTTTTCCATAAGTCTTTCAAATGTCGCGGGGGCATTACATAGTCCAAATGGCATGACATTAAATTGCCACAATCCAGATCCGCTGGTAAAAGCTGTCTTTTCTTTGTCTACTGGGTCCATTTCCACCTGCCAATATCCAGACTTTAGGTCTAAGGTAGAAAATAGTTTACTTCCGAGGAAGAGGATAACTGTCTTTCTTAGTTACATTGTTCAACTGACGGTAATCCACACATAACCTCGTAGTTCCATCCTTTTTCTGGACCAGGACTACCGGAGAGACCCATGGGCTGGTAGAAGGTTCTATTACCCTGTCTTCGTAGAAGGTTCTATTACCCTGTCTTCCTTCATTTCCTGAACAATCCTTTCAGCTTCCTCTCTCTTGACCTTTGGTAATCTTCGAGCTGATTGACGAATCGGCCTGGCGTCACCAGTGTCAATTTTGTGTTTTACGACAGAAGTTCTTCCGGTTTTTCCTCCTTTTGGTACAAAAATGTCACGATATCGTCGAAGAAATTCCTTTATTTTCTTTTTCTCTAATTGATTCAGAGATTGACCAGCAACTGCAATCATTTGCTCAAATTTGTCATTGGAATTATCAGAAGTTGTTGTCTGACGAATTATGGAAGTTACTGGTACACACGTTCCGATTCTGGTCTTTTTCTTGATGGTAATTGGGTGATCATTAACTTTTATAAGACGGACTGGAATCTCCTTAGCAGTCGTAACCAACCCCTTCCCGATCAGAATTCCTCGTCCAACCTCTTCATCGTGGTTCCAAGGTTCCATCATGACAGGTGTTCCTTCTTCCATAGTTTCTTGAAGCCGTGCTACTATAACGGTTTCACTTCTGCCAGGTACCACCGTATCCTCCTGTATAGCAACTGGCACGGTACTGTCCCCATATGGATGTAGGAATACCTCTTCGGCACCAACTTTGATCACTCTGTTTTTAAAGTCCAACTGGAAACCATGTAAGTTTATTGCATCCATTCCAAGAATAACATCTTCGATATCAGCGACAATAACAGTATGAGTTAACTTTTCTGTACCAATTCCCAATTGAACCTTGATTTCCCCATGGATGTTGGCACTTTCACATGTGGCAGTCCGCAGTCGCAATCTTGTTGGTAGAAGTCTCTTACAGTTCTTTATGGTTGTTGGTCGTATAATGGCCCTAGTTGCTCCAGTATCCACCAACAGTGGATAATTTTTACCATTTACTTCGCCGTCCACGTATACACTATCATCGCGACATTTCAAAGAGGCTATTAGTATGAGAGGGTCTTTGGAACGGTTTCGGGTCGAAGCTGTCCCCTCTAGGCCGACCCGCTCTAGTTTTCCTGCGGCGTGTTGCCTTCAGTTGTTGAGACCCTAGGGCGTTTGCACGAACTGCGTACATGCCCCAGTTCACCACAATTCCAGCATTTGATGGTCTTTGTCTTCATCTTTTTATCAGTAAAGGTCTTCATTATGTTAACTAGTTGGTCGAGTTTATCTTCTACGTTTTCTTCTTTTACAGTTCTCACTTTACTGTATCCTTCAGAAGCCTGCGTAGCTGCCTCATACTCTAAAGCAGCGGACAAGACATCGACCAATGTTTTGTGGCGGGCTAAGCGAAGTGTTTTCTGCATCTCGTGGTCACGGAGTCCATCAACAAATGTTTGGACTGCTAAACATTCCATCATGTTTTCCGGAGCTGATGGGTAGGCAAATCGCACCAATCTGGCAATATCTACTTCATATTCTTGAAGGGTCTCGTCTCGTTTCTGTTTGCGATTCTTTAACTGTAATTGGTATAGATGCTCCAAATGTTCGTGGCCATATCGCATATTTAGTCTCTTTTTGAGTTGCTCAAAATCATCTGTCTCTTCCACGGGTATAGTCTGAAGGACATCTAAAGCGTCTCCTCGAAGGGCGATTGTCAAATTCACTGCCTTTTCTCTCTCAGACCATTCGTTTGCTCTCGCAGCTGTCTCGAACTGTTTAAGGTAGTTCGTCCATGACATCTTCCCGTCAAAAGTTGGGGCTTTAACACGAGGAGAGTTTACAGCTCCTTCCAATTTCAACTTCGACTCTACTTCATGGCACTTTATTTCACCGTCCTTGGCCGGGTCTGAATGTTCCAGTTCTTTTATCTTCTTTTCCATTTCTTTTATTTTCTCCTCAACAGAAGACATCTTGTTCTCCACATCGGAGATTTCATTTTTTAGTGGAGAGAAGAAGAGATTTTGTTTTCTAAATCGGAAGAAATTTCTGTTTTTAAAGAAGATATGTCAGAAGACACCTTTTCTTCTAAGGAAGAAATATCAGACAAAACTTTACTTTCTAAGGAAGAAATGTTAGAAGAAATATCGGTTTTCATGGAGGTCATATCAGAAGACATTTCGATTTTCAAGGAAGATATTTTACTTTAAATATCGGAGGAAATTAAAAAAATTATAGCAGAAGATGAATCATCAGAAAATAGATACGTTTCCGAATCAAAACCTTCATTTTCGATTGCTTCTTTAAGTCGTTCTGTCAGTTCTGCTTTCTTCCCTGTCTTCTTCTAACTCCCGACGTAGCTCGGTCACTTTTAAATCACACAGTCTTTTAGCAATTATTGTCCAATATTTATTTATAGTTCCACTTCTAACACCAATGTGACGAAAGTCTAATTTATTTAAAGTTTATTTATTTAAAAACACTATTTACAATTTATTTCAGACGTACTATTTAATTTATATAATATTTAGACACTAACAATTCTAATTTATTTCTTACACTTTAACTTTTCAATACCATGTTCTACATTAAACTAAACTCGGCGCTGATACGTCGGCTATTTATATTAATCCAAATCCGCTACTGGAAAATACGAGAAGCTCTCGAACATTCCTTTTTATGACTAAGCGGCACTCTCTGCCATTCCAGTCGCTTCCAGTGCTTCAGCGGCAGACAGTCCGTCGTATTCTTTTACATTCGAGACGCGGTCCGGCTGTTTCCACACGTCAGCGTTGCTTCGATCACGAATTGGTTGCCATGTGAAGGCCGCGTGCGTACACAGGCACAGGGTCGGATTAGGGATATCATGACATAAGTTTGGTTGTGTTGTATATTGATATAATTATTATGTTTGGTCACTATACACTTTGAATATCAACATCTATCAATTCATTCCATATTTAGAACATGTTTGCTTACAGCTATTTTTACGTTTACTTATTTTATTGAATGTTGCAAAGTTTTGACTCTAACTTCCTTAATTTTGAGACAGTACCTATGCCCTTTCCAAATTAAGGTCTAGATTTTCACTTTTTTTTTTTTTATTAGATTTTTTTCTTAACTTATTTACATTTTTCAAATTACAGGTTTCTTGTTTATGGCAAGGTGACTACCTTCTAACAGTTTCTCTAAGTGGTTTTATCAACTACTTAGATATTAATGAACCCACCAAACCATTAAGAGTGATCAAAGGTCACAATAAGCCCATCACGGCTCTGACGCTTAGCGAAGATAGAACTTCAATTTTCACTGCCTCCCATGATGGATATGTGACCACATGGAATGCCGAAACAGGTGAAAATGACAGGATAGAAGGTGCTGGACACGGAAATCAAATAAACGGAATGAAAGCGTTTGACGGAACATTGTATACCTGCGGCATCGACGATAGCTTAAAGCAAATCGATATTGAAGGTAAGTTGTATGATAATAATAATAATGAGTCGTCCATACAAAATGTGATGAGTTAATTTTTTCAAGATCTGAAGAAATATTTTTTGTATATCACTCCATATTAATACTAATAATTATTCATGTTTTAAGTTCATTAAAAATATTATAGTAGCATACAATAAATATGTAATGACGGAAATATATAAATACAGTCTTACATATTAGAGTATATATAAATTTCAACATAATTATTCATTAATGGTACAGGTATGTATGTATGTATGTACTATAATAGGTATAGGGCAAAAATTTAATTTCGACCCACCCCTACAGAGATATTTGGAAATGCCCTGAAATAGGTTTTAAAAGTATTTTCCAAAGCAAAAAATAACCAAAAAAATATGCCTCAAAATCCGATTCTGATATATCTCATAAAAACAGCCATACAGCACTTGCCACTGTAGCTTAAGTATCAAGCTAGCACAGCCAATGTTTCTTACGAACCACAAAACAAAAAATGATAAAAATTGATATATATTTCTAAAGCAAAAAATTCACAAAAAATTTACCGCAGACCTGATTCTGATGTTTCTCGGTAACAGCAGGAGCAAAAAAAATTCAAATTTGGTTAGAAAAAACAAAAAGTATAGCATAAGTCGCTCTGCGGGATTATGGCTATGCCATGCTAGCTCTATGGGCAAGCTATTGAAGCTTGCTTGATGTGTTGTAATTTAATAAAAAAAGATCTTATGAACTGGAAGATGAATATTCATAATCTGTTTTTACCATGGTAGAAAAAAGTTAGTAAAAGAGTTAGTAATCATAATTAACATTTTAGGCCTCAAAGAATTTTATATTTTATGATCTAATATTATTAAATACTTTGATTCTTTCATAAAAGTCATGTCATGTTTCTCAAATTAACCTTCGCCAATGCAGGAAAGAAGAGAAATCGCGAGCATGCAGCTCGACTGCCCTTAGAATTTGCAATAAGTCATCCAAACATGAGGCATTTCAGATTTTGATATTTTCATTTGGGTTTCGGGCGAGTAAAACAATGAATCAACAATGATTAATTGAAGAATAATTGATTAAAAAATATCGAATTGTATGAATTAGTAAAAATGTAGTTCCAATAAAAACTGTACTCCATGGGCAGCCGAGTTTCGGCGATTGAAAATAATGAACATTTGAATTTCAAATTTAAGTTTGTACTTGTACCTTACTTAGTTTCTTTTTAGATAGGTTACCATCTTTTAACGACATTTAATATAGATACTTTTGAATCTGCCTTTTAGGGTAGTTTTTGATCAGACGTAGTGGAACTAATATTTCTCTGTGACATATAAAAATTATATACTAAGAATGAGTTTGAACTCTTGAGGCTATGATTTTGATTTCAGGTAAAGCTTACAAACCAATGAACTTAAAACTTGGCTCACAACCTAGAGGTATGGACATACTCAAGGAGCAAAACATAATAGTATCCGCTAGCGTTAACGAAATTACCGTATCCAAAGATAACCAAAAAGTAAGTACTCTTAAGGTTAGCTACGAACCGACTAGCGTGGCTTGCTCCCCCAAGGGTCATGTAGCTGTAGGGGGCAACATGGACAGCAAACTACACATATACGAACTTCAGGGTAACGATTTGAACCAAATACATGAGTTGACTCATTTGGGAGCCGTTACCGATGTGGCCTATTCTCCTGATGATAAGTACCTGGTTGCATGCGATGCTCATAGGAAGGTGGTACTGTACAGTACCGATGAATATAAGGTATGTTTAAAAAAAACTTTTATTGAATTTAAATGTTAATGATGAATAACTTATTTAAAAGGTGGGGCCCAAAAAAACAGAATTAATGAAAACATTTTATTTGTTCGTACTTGATGCAATATGTATTGAGTAGGGCTGGGCGATTATCAAAATAAATAATCAATTATTTTCGATTAATCAATTATGTCAGCTAAAACTGACAAAACGAACAAAAGTAAAAAGTAGGATGTGAGGAGCAACAAAAGGTCTAGTTTATGCTTGCACCCCTTACGTTTGGTTGGAGAGCAAAAAAAAAGTTCTAGTAATTTAATTTATGCATGCAATTTATATTGAGTTGACCGAGCAATTCACTGCTATTCTGTGCATTGCTTTTGATTTTAATCAAATAATCGAATAGTTGAAAATACTCCATTAATCAAAAATAATCGATTATTTAAAATCGATTACCTCTAGTATTGAGTCCTTTGATCATATAAACACTAGATAAATAATTTTTTGTCCGTAACATAAAAATGGAATAGTCTTTATAAAGAGGTCGCATTTCACTTATGATTTCAAAGGATGATTTGATATTGGCGCATTTTTTATTGGTCGAGTTGTTCGCAAGTAGGATTTGCACAGATACAGCACCCTTTCTATTTATTTATTTAACAGGAAACCCCCTTTATTGTAAAATAATACTGGGTCTTCAACAATACCGAAAACCCACGTGACCAAATCGTCATGACAGCGATTGGTGAAAATAAAAGTAAAAATCCCTAAATTTGAGTCAGTGCCGTAGGTATTTTATTACAAATAGAAAATAGATCTTCTTTTTTCATGGTCTGCAACTACGAGAACAAAATTCAGTTAGGTAACTGTTAGAATTACAACACAAGACACAAATTCATAATATTAATTAGAGGTGCTTTACATTATTGTATTTTAATGTTAGAATTCGATATTTTAATTAGATTTAATCAAATTCAATAATCTAATTTTTAAAATTATGATATAAATAACATAACCTTAAAAACTGAGCTGTTTATATCTAGTTTGTATTTAACGAAAAGAATAATAAACTGAAATATGGTTCGTACTAGTTATTGTCACTACTACAAAAAAAAACCTTTACCAGAACAGGGCACAAAAAAGTTATGGATAAAAATGTTATGCATTAAAATATGAATCAAATTAAAAATTATTTACTTTAGATTGACTCTTTAAGGGCTGATTCCACCGTTGTGTTAAACGGAGATTAAAATGACATTGTTAATGTAAAAATGTCATTTTAAACTTCGTTTAACACAACGGTGGAATCGGTCCTAAGATATTTAGCTACAGCTGAAACTCTAAATACGATAGGCAGAAGACAATGGCAGTATTTGGCAATTATTGCAATTAAAGTAAACAAATTTAAGACTTACTGGAATTGAACCTGGATAATGGGAAGTAATAAACACATAATTTAAGTTTGTTCTATTATTTATTTGTTACAGGATTTACAAAATACATTGTTACTTATATGCATACAAAAAAATATTAATATTATTAATATAACAAGCACATATTTGTTTTACCTTACAGCTCTTACTTCTTACTTTAAATTATAAAGGCATATCTATTAGCAACTATTTTATTTAAAAGGATATTGAGTAGTAATCGGTGGTGCACAAACTAATTCACAGTACCTATCTGTTCAAAATCTTAATCACCAGCTTTAATGCAAGCATTAAACCTTCTTTTTTGAACACATTATGCAGTTTCTCCTCAGTTATATTTTGTATATCATTCAATATAGGTGCTCCAATTCATAAACGTCACAAACGATTTTGAATTGAGCGATCTGTAATATTCCATATGTAGTTTTAACAAAATTAAGGTAAAATGATTGTTGCAGAATCGAAACTTTATAGGGGATGCATTATCATAATTTTTTTTAACTTTATGGCTAGTTCGTAGTGATGAACCTAAAAAAAAAATAGTCAGTCTTCGAAACACCGTTCATACCTGTTTGAGGTGCTGTTTTTTTTACTAATTTATTGGAAATTTACAACATGTTAATTTGCACATCTTCAACAGCTTTTGTTATTACTTTGGGCATTTTAGACCTTTTTCCTTTTTTGAACAAGTATTTGTTTATGACGACAAAAAAGAATCACATTCCATTTATTCACCTGGAAAACGTTCCTCAAATTTTCGAATAATTTTGTTCCAGTATAACATTACCTACAATAAATTATATAGTCATTAACTTTTACGAGTTACAGTAAATAAATTTGTACTTACCAACAAAAAAGAAGCCACCAATATTCTCTAAAAATAACTAATTGCTTTATTAATATTAAATGAAAAATGGACTAAGGGTGTTTATAAAATGTAAACAAATATAATATAAATATTGTCAGTCCCCAAATGAACGCCAGTGACATTTCTGACAGGATTGACAGTTCAGTTTAGTTCCTTTTACGTCAAATCAGGCCTTTTCGATGGGTTTTTGATGGTTATCAGATCACGTGGGTTTCGGGTATTGTTGAAGACCTGGTACAAAGTGGTACTCAACCTACACAGATACAAAATATAATATGACAGAATATAGGATTTAACTGCAAATCGCAAATATCATCATCAAAACTTTGATACCTTGATAAGTAAGAGACAGGACTGTAATACCCATAATTTGAATAATGAAATGGAACCACCTACACACTATGGTTACGAGTGATCCATTTTTTATAAGATTTTTCAAAATAAATAAGCTTTATCTCATTGTAAAGCCTGATTTTTCTTGAAAATTTTTAAGTTGATATTGTTTTTTTTTTGTTTCAATCCCCTCTTAACCCCTTCATTATTAATAAGATTTTTCCAAATCAATAGGCTTCGTTCCCTTATAAAGATTTGATATATTCTACAAATTTTAAGTTGATATTGTTTTTCGTTTTTAATTTATGATTTTTTTTTTAATTTTAACCCCCTTAACCACCCCATTTTCAATCAGATTTTTTTTCAAAATCAATAGACTTCGTACCCTTATAATAGAGTTCATATCATTTTTAGTTTGGAGGGACAGACGAATATTTTTAGAAGTTGTTTAAAATTTGATGAGACGCATTTTGGTACAAACATGTTTAAATTTGGATGAATATTAAAAATTTTGGTTTTTTTAAAGTAAACCTATAATACTCAGGATACCGTTTTTGTTGTGCGGCTCTCGCCCACTATCGACTGTGATCGGAGATATCCCGACTCAGGCGGACGAGATTCAAATATTATGACAGATAACATAACCTAACTCTTTTTAGTTTTTCTATTTTGATTACTGTGTTGGATAATTTCAAGTTTTTGTGATTTTAACTTCTGATATTTGCGAATAAACTGTTGTCATGGTTTTTCCACGTAGTCGTGAATATGTTGTCATTGGAGAGTGATAATAAAGACACTGTAGTGGAATGCTGTCGAGTTTTGTGGCGATATAAAAGATGAAAAAATTAGGATGATTAAGTGTATAGATCCATTTGCCTTGAGAAGTGATGGAACCAACTCTTTCCTGATTCACTGATATTAGGTTTGTTCCAACAACAATCTTGGAACCATACACAAACCAGTCCACAACTTATTGTCGACGACTGATAGTCGACGACCAGTCCACGACCTGTCGATGATTGGGACTAAATTCGGAACGTGGTTGTGTTGGAACACATGTTTCTGTTGTCAGACACACTGTCAATAACGTAAAAGAAAAAAAACATTAACAGATGTTAAATTTTAAATTTGGTAAATAAAAAAATTAAAACTCATTAAAAGATTTATAAATTTTGAATATTCGACTGATTAGTACATTAACTTATTTTATTTTTTACTTTATCTAAGTCAGAATAATAGTCCTTTTCACTTTCTACACTCAATACTCTTTCTTTGTATACTCAATAATATACTATAAATAATGATAATGAATAAAAATCAAATAACGATCGAGATTATGATCGATGATGCTATCAAAACGAATATAATCACGACATTTCCAGAGTTGGTCGAGATTTATTTACGATCTCACTTTCGTTTTGCGCATGTCTTGACAATTCGTTCCTATTCAGACCCAGGAACTGATTTGACAGTACAGAAACTGGTTTGTGATTAGGTTTGAGTATGTTGGAACACTAGGTTTTTGTACAGTTTTGAGTCCGAGGTTTGTTGGAACATCAAATCTAGACTGCGCAGAATCCCGAAAGTACGTAAACCGATTTGCTATTGTGTTGGAACAAACCTATTTATAAACGGCTTATAAGATCATCTCTTTTGATATAACTAGGTCTATACCAGTGAGCAGATGAAAGCCTATAAAAGTTGTCTGAATACAAATATAGCGAAGCAGTCGAAGATGGATTTGTACATAAGGTAGAAACTAGAAAAATCGTATGTCGCATTGTTATCCTTGGCAAAGTATCACTTTGAAACATTATATTTTACATGTAGAAACATGGCGAAAATAAAATTCTATACGACACCGAGTAAGGCCACTGTTCTTCTGTCAACATCATTATTTGCTGCACCAATAGTTGTAACCATAAGCAAATTGCAATGAAAAAGGCCTGCGTAAAAAGAAGTTTGTCACCTGCTTTGGTGATTGTGAAGAAAACAGGACAAATACAGGGGATTGTGTATTTTAGAATGAAAAAAAAAAAGTGATATAGTGTATATAAGTACGTTTTAGTTTAAATGATACTACAGCCGAGTTTGGCTTTCTCACTTCAAGCACTTACTCATTTCTGTACACACTCGGAATACACAGTGAGTAAGCTGAACTCGATTATTATAGACATTGATTGTTATTTTAAGGGTACGATGTAAAAAAGGTTTTAAATAAAATAATGAATGTATGACATTTTAAATATCTAATTGTATTGTTTGTCTCTGTATATTGTTTCATTAAATAGAGAACAAAAAAATTAACCTATTTTTAGGAAATAGGCACTTGAGAAATACTAAATAAATTATTTATTTCGAATTGAATTTTCAAATTGAATAATACTTCATTTTCCTTATTATGGATATTTTTCATGTGCCGATTAAGATTAAATTTCTTTGAAAATCCTTGCTTGCAATATTCGCAAGTTAATTGTTTACAACTAAAAATGTTAATTTTGCAGGAACCTAAATCAAAGAACGGTTGAACTTACGTGTTATTATCCATTTTAAATCAAAATGATATAAAGCTGAAAAAAATACACTCAAAACCTGAAATGCAAAAGTAATCGCGAAAATTATAGTGAAAACTTGCTCCTGAGCGTGCCAAAAGTAAACACACTTCTTTAGTTTGTAAAATAACAACTAGAAAACACAATTTCTTTAAAATTGAGGGTGAAATTCTCCAAATTTCCAAATTCGAGAAAAGATCTCAAAAGAGAGGTTAGTTTAGAGTTTAGCGCGCCAACGCCAAACGTAAACATTTAATTTAAAATACACACCGTCAAAAAGCGTTGGGTCTGCTCAGAGCCGAGAGCCGGCGGGAGCTACCGAAAGCCAACGAGAGCCGCACAACAAAAACGGTATCCTATAATACTCTTCACACACTACTGTGTGAAAAAATAATGAGAGGTTTAGTTCTACTAAAAATAAATTGAGTAATATTTGTCAGTGTTCAGAGATATACCGTTTGCAACAGACCAATTCAAAAGTGCTAAAATGTCACTTTCCAGTTTATAACACTCCTCAAGAGTAATAATTCTCAAGCATATTTTGCAAGTCATCAGCAAACAGTAAAATTTCTAGATGCGACGTAAAATAATTCCGTTTTTTGGGTCCCCTCTTTGAAAAAAAAATTAATAATAGAATTAATAAATGTGTTAAGTAGTGTTTCAATCATTGAAAAGAAATATTTAAATTATATCTAAGTTTAAGTTAATAATTCAGTAATCTATTTGTTTTTTTTTTAATGCCCTAATACATTATTCTACATGATATTTTTGTCTTTATTGCTTCCTTTGATTTGTTCAGTCGGTAAGTATTAACTCTTTTATTTATTTTTTTTTTTTTTTAAATCATGACAAATCTCTAAATACAGCAGAAATAGCCAGAAATTGCCGTCTGTATATTGCCACCTCAACACTTAAAACTCTTAAATAAAATTGTTACGTTCTTCAGAAAAATTTACCTAATATCTGATATCGTTTGTAGAAGAAAGAAGTGCTAGTTTATTATACTCCTTCAAAATCCGGTTTTTCATATGGGAAACCTCGGTATTTTTTTATTGATTTTTACATCAAAATTAAACTAGACTTATTATCTAAATTTAGTGAGTATTATCTAGTGAAAAAGGTGCTTGTTATTAAGTATAACTTTACTTTAAATCATAAAACTTAACCAACACAATTTTTTTTCTAAAGGTCCAAAAAACATCTTATGATAAGACACTCTCAAATCATTAGAGCTCTACAGTCGGAGCTTTTGCTGCAAAATTTAACAATGTTAATTGTGGTAGTTGTCATTCGATTATGCATTTATCTCAGTTTCTGAGATAAGGGCAGTAGTTATTCAGAAAAGGACCTTAGTTTACTTTTGTCCAGACTGTCGCACAGCCTTTAAGGAGGTCCTTTCGCCACACCTCTCGCCTCAAATGTTTAAAAAAAAGTTATTAGATTATGAATAAAATTAATTTTTTTCTAATAGTTGAAGTCCTTATTTATCTAATACTGAACTTTTAACTATACCTTACCTTGAAAATGATTGCGAATTTTTTTTTAAAAATGTGAGTATTTGTACAGTGCCTCACGAGAAAGTAAGTCCTCAACAACAATTCTCGAATTATACTATTATTTATTGATTAGATGGAGTAGAAAAAAACTAAAAATAAGGTTTTTGAAATATTTAGATTTTGTTTTATACAATAAAATATATATAGTAAACCGTGGAACTTATTAAGAACTTAATATTAAAAAATCACAAAAAATTTTCAAGTAACCTAGTTGAAAATTTTTTGTGATTTTTTAATAATAATTTCTCAATAAATTCCACGGTAACCTATTTATTTTATTGTAAAAAACAAAACCTAAATATTTCAAAAACCTTATTTTTAGTTTTTTTCTACTCCATCTAATCAATAAATAATAGTAAAATTAATTATAATTCGAAAATTGTTGTTGAAGTCTTACTTTCTCATAAGACACTGTACAAACTTACACACTTTTAAAAAAAAAATCTCAAAAATTTGCACGGTAAGGTATAGTTAAAAGTTCACTATTAGATAAATAAGGACATCCACTATTAGAAAAAAAATTAATTTTAGTCATAATCTAATATTTTTTATTTAACATTGGTGGCGAAAGGACCTCCTTAAGAGTCAGGTGTGCTCTTAAAGGCTTCACTACGAAAAGAGATCATCACTTATCTTAAAAACGAAATGGCTCAGCTACCATATTTATCTCTAGCAATTGATAACGTAACATCGGAGCTAGAAGGCCTTAAGGCTAAGGTGGAAAACCAAAACCGACAAGCAATTGCTAATCCAGCCCCAACCATAAGCAATCAAGACATCACGTCCGAGTTATATGAATGTGAAAAACGATCTCATGTTATGTTTTTCAACCTAGCAGACAAAGATAAGGATCGTGTAGAGGTCCAGAAATTAATTAGTAAGGCAACTTCCGAACCCATTACAATCAAAAACTAGCACGAGTTGGTAAAGCTAACAAAAATGGCTTTCGGTCTTTAAAAGGGCAGCTATCTAGTACATCTAAAAGTATTGTTAACTTAAAAACAGCCAAAGTGTTTGTCAATACAGATCTAACCAAAAAACAACAAGAAGCTGAATAATCTGCTCAACACGAATTACAAACTAGCGATCTAATTGGAAGGAGGTGCGCATAAATGGAAACAGATACTCTAAGTCACCACACATTTAACAAAACAGATACCATAACAGTCTATTATCAAAATGTTCGCGGCATCCATACAAAGTTGCAAATTCTATTGGAAAATGTTACATCCTGTGAGTATGATATAATTGTCATGAATGAAATATGGCTGACAAATGGCCACACTGACTCGGAATTTAATATGATCGACTACAATATCTATAGAAAGGATCGTACACAAGAAACTAGTAATCATTCTAGAGGTGGTGGCGTTCTCATAGCATTTCACAAAGATATTAACTCCAAAGTTATTAAATCATCTCAAAATTATGAATATCTCTTTGTACTATTGGGCCAAGTTAACACTCAGAATATTTTATCTGTCACCTATTTTCATCACCTACTGCTCGAAATTAATCAAATTTACGACCAATTTCCCAGTGGTCACTTTGCATTCTTGGAAATTTTAATCTTTCATAGTGCCTGGTTAAATGACAACTTAAGTTCAATAGCTGCACCATCATTCAAGGCATCGCCAACAGAAGCTGAATCTCTTGAAGTCTTGTCTAATATGTGTGCTTTTCATAACTTGTTTCAACTTAACTCTATCCATAATAATGTTAATTTAACTTTAGACCTAATTTTTATGCAAAATCACAATATATCTGTAGATAGAGCTGATTTTGACATTGTACAAATAGACGGTTTTCATCCACCTTTAATTTTTAAGTTAAGTTTTAATGATAATAACCTACCTGGTTCAATGCCTCAAGGTTTTTATAGAGCTTTTAAATCGGCGGATACTGAGTCAATTTTAATATTTTTTTAAGCAGTTTTAATCGAGAAGAACTATTTTATAATCAATCTCTTCTACGCAAAAGGAACCTCACAGAAAAAAAGGATATCGCTGACAAAAGCTGCCTACTGAGCGCACGTTTGTCGGGTCAACCTTAGGGGTGATTAAATCCACCACGCACGTCGCCTAGAGTAGTACTTTTAATCAATTAGTTACACTTTATAACGTTGCATCGGAGATATAAAATAGCTTGTGGTTACCTATTTTCTCACAACCTTGCAAAATAATTCTAGGAGCGAGATCTGGCTCTATTCAACGTCTATCTGCCTGGTCAACCTTACTATATAATCTCCTCTTACTTATATTAAATATAAGAAACATGTGGTCATCCTAAAGACAACTGGATATCTATGCAGAAGTCGTCGTATATAGAAATTAATTTCTCTACTCTGTCGATAACTGTTATTGCTGTTTTTAAAATATAACAAAAGCGCTGCCACCTTAGAGATGGCAATATCTCTTTTTAATTATATTTGAATAATATAAAGAAAAAGGAGTTACCATAACGGTAACGTGTATATATGCTCTTTTTGTTAACTTGACTCGGTGAAGGTGAAAAAGCTAGTCCCTCTCAGCTCACAAGAAACACGCTATTTATACCGCAGTCGCAAGACGCTGAGATGTTATTCGCATTCGAAATTAAAATTTCAATGCAATATATAAGAATTATTTAAATTAACTATCAACCCCAGGTTGTCAGATTCCAGTGTTCTTGTTCAATACATGAGCTTTCGATATCGTCTATGCATAATAAAAATGATCCTCAAAAAAATGTTTTTAAACTAGATGATGACCGACAAAGACAGATACGAGTTACTTCTGTTATAACTACAGACGATTCTGAATTAAATCCAGACACTTAAAAAGAAGAAGAATTGTTGGATCCAACATACGTGAATTTTTCCAGTGCCTACTTAAGAAACATTATTTGTGAATCACATATTTTATACGAAAATTATTCTTTTGTGATTTACTTATGCCTTATTTTTGTTTTGTAGCTTGCCAATAACAAGGAATGGGGATTCCATAATGCCCGTGTTAATTCTGTCGCATGGTCCCCAGATTCTCAATTGGTGGCTAGCGGAAGTCTGGATACTAGTATTATCATTTGGCATGTCGAAAAACCTGCCAAGCACATTATTATCAAAAGTAAGTACCAAATACATATGGTATTTTTTTAAAGTTTAGATTAAAAATATTTTTGTTCTTTTAAAATTAAAAAAAAAATGCATTCACCTGTTTTTAATAAACCTAAGTATTTTCTATTAATTTGCCTAACAAACTGTATAAATCAAATATAAACTCGGTTTCAATGCATTGAAAGTTGTCACTTCTATTGGCGATCAAAAGTGGCGCCATCTTTTTGTTTCAGCTTTTTTCATGAACAACTTTTGTTGGAGCCGACTCATTCTCAAAGACCTAAAGAACTGAAGATTGTTTTTTTTTCTGGCTCAGTAGTATACCCATGTTTCATCACCTGTGATGATATACACCAAATTAAACGATCCACGTTCAAAGCGATTAATGCTCCATCTCGCGTGGTCTTCTTTCTATCGAAAACTTACGGACTTTCAAATGTTTTGCTAGAATTAGGCATTCCAACGACTTGTCAAACAATAGGTGCCAGTGGGAAATTCTTGTATATTTAAGGGGGTAGCGACATAGTCTTGCAACTTGGACGCTATTTTTATTCGAAGTAGTACTCGCCAAGCCTGCCAATTTATGAAGAAATGTATAGGTGGGTTTTTTAAATATTATTTTTATTGTGTTTGACATAAAATATTTAAATGTAATCCATTATTCATGATTTTACGTAAAGTAGATAGAATACACCATATGTCGCCACCCTTAGATATACCAAACCTGCCCACTGGTAATTCATTTGTTTGGAATGCCTAATGGTGTTAGTTGCTTTCAGATCAATCTTTACAGTTGCTTGAATGTCTCTGACAGTCATGTGCTGGTCCTTTTTAATCATGTTCTGAATAGGATCAATATTTTTTCCGTAACCCGTTTCTTGGTTTAGGAGCTCGAAAACTGTCATTTAAGGAAAGTAGACCACATTGAGATTTATTGTACTACTGTTTAACGTAGCGAAGGAACACGACTTGTCCCGAATCACTCGATTGATTTCCTCAAAAAATTATTTACGGTTTAATCACAGCCCAATAAAGCTCCTTGTTCATTTCAATCACTTATTGGCGAAAGGGTTACTTTAAACTTGTGTAACTAACAATCAGGTATATTTGGCAACTGTCACTAACTAAACTTGTAAACAACTAGATAGAAAAATTTGCTGCAAAAATATAATCGCCTACTAGATAGGCTGAAAAAGAACAGTCTATACATTCTCTGGCAAACGTGGCAACGTTGCATGTAGTTCTAGTAACGCGATCAAATAATGATCTACGAAAAGAGCTACGAAACTACGACACTATGAATTCAAACAGACATACAACGTTGCCACGTTTGCCAAATAAATTTTTGGCAAAGAGAATTACGGTCTGGTAATATTCAGCTTGAGTAATAACAATAATATATTTACTAACATTTAAAAAGGCAATGCTCTCAGTACTATTATACGATTTTACAAAAAAATAATTTTTAAAGGTATGTTTAAAGAATTGAATTGGAATTCCCTTACTTTTAGATAAACTATATTATTGGGAAAAGTGTTACAAGACAAAAGTGTTTAAATATCTTTATAGATATATGATTAAGTTAAATTCAGAAATTCAAAAGACATACATACTACGAGTGGTAGTAAAAACAAATTGAAAACCAAAATCGAGAGGCCACTAACTACAAAAATCCTAATAATATTTCGTTTTAGTATTCTTAGTATTCTTTTTGTTTTATTAATTTAATTCAAAAATTATTTTCAGATGCTCATGCTCAAAGCCAAGTAACGAGGCTCTCCTGGGTAGACAATAGCACTCTTGTATCAGTAGGACAAGACTGCAACACAAAATTATGGACTATCACCCCATTCTAGTGATATCTTCGTACCTAAAAATGCTGGGCGTGTCAAATTAACCCTCATTTTATTTATTTTTTTATTTATTTTTTGGTTTTTCATATTGAGTATATTGCATTTATTAAAATCACTTACCGGCATTTTTTATTAACATTATTTATTTTTATTATAAATTGCTTTTTAGTATTGTTTGTATGGATTGTATTCAAGATGTGATGAAACTATATCTGCTCATTCAATTAGTGGATTATTCTTAACAGTTTGCAGTGGATACAACTCACCTAATTCTCAGGAACTCATTTTTGTTTTCAAAACATTTATTCTTATGAACATCCAAAAATATTTTCCTAACAGTATTTTAATAGTATTAAGCAATGAAATGTTCGGATTGATATTGGTTATAAAACCTACTTAAATATTGTTAAAATTGTAAACTTCCTTATGAGTTAAAGGCTGTTTGCCACGACACTAGATTAAGTACTAAACTAAGTTATTAATTTAGTTACTAAATTAGAACTTACATTTTACTGTCTGCTACGATACCAGTACTAACTTAAGTCCACACACATCCAATGGCGTAATCTCTCGTAAAATTAGACAAATATATGTTACATTTTTATTATGAAGTTGACAGATTCAAAAGGTTATTTTTTTAATGTGTTATTAAAATTATTTAGTTGTGTTTTTTTTTTTAGAATTACTATTTAGTTGTTTGTTGTGTTATTTAAGTTGTAGAAAAAAAATATTTTTTAATTAGTGATAAATTTACAGAAAATATATTGCTAAAAGTTCTAGATTATTTTGAGGTTTTATCATTTCCAACCTAGAAATTCTGGAACTGTGCTCGTATTGTAAATGGAAATATAAATAACGACATGCATGTAATTTTCCATAATTGCAGTGGCGGGCATAATTATTACAGATGAAAGAAAATCATTTTATTTTTAAGTACAAAATAATAAGCTGTTACAACTGTTAACTTTTGAAAATGTATAATCTGAAAAAGGTTTCTGTACTACGTTTCAACTAGGGTTGCCACCTGTCCTTTTTTTAAAAGGACAGTCCTTTTATGAAGCAAAATGTCCTTGTGACTTTTTAAAGCTTAAAATGTCCTTTTTTATCGCAAATGGCTTTTTTACAGCACATCTTCGAAAAGGACATGGTTTGTACGAAAATATATAAGCTGATAATTTTTTTTAGAAGCTCTGTAGAATGACGACGAGGAAGATTTTTTTAAGCTCGGCGACGATTTTTTTAGAAGTTCGGTAGAAGGATGAGGACTTTTTGTATGCCGGAGCTCCTGTCGACATCGTAGTCATTTATTTACTTTTCAAAAAGGTGGCAACCCTAGTTTCAACCCATTTTTAGTACTAAATTTAGTAGAAAATAAAAGTTTTAATTATATTTTTTTAGTGACTAAATTTAGTACTGAATTTGGTGTTTGTAATTTAGTTTAAATTTAGTATCGTGACAAACAGCCTTAAGATAGAATTATGTGCAAGTTGTTTCTATTTTTTGCTAAACACAGCAGCCTAATTTGGTCGGGTTTTCGCGCATTACCGAATATTTTTTTATTGATAAAATATTTTATGTAATATCGAATGAGATGTGAATAATTACTAAAGGACTGTATGTTATTATTAGGAGTGTTATACGAATTTATTATAGAAAGCTTTATATATCTATGAATAAAAGTGAATTTCTTGTATAAGGTTCTTTTATTTACCTTAACTGTATTTTATTTCTTTATTGATTCAAGCAATACATACATACGATTAGTCATGCCATTTATCTGCCCGTTAATTTTTTAATCAAAATTAAAAATGGTATACCCTTTTCTACGAAGTCACTAAATTTTTCATTAGTTTATAGAATGTTTAATTCAAGTTAATTTTCCTTTAGTTTAATTTTAAGTATGTTTAGTTCAAGTCAATTTCCGCCTGATAAGGTGCTGAGGAACTCTCATATTTAGTTTCTTAATAATTCCCGGTTTTGAATGTTTGCGAGAGCCCGCGTTATTTAAAATATATTATTTGCTGAAATTCGAATCCAGCATTAAATGCTCAATTTCATGTAAATTTTATGTGGTTACTTTCGCAAATGTCAAAAGGACGTTTTCTCTGTTATTCGTATTGTAAGTATTGTCTACTCCCACTAAGAACCCTCTGGAGCCCGAATCAGTACGAGGGTGAAATATTTAAGAGGCTATCATCGAGCACTCTGTCTCTTTTGCTGCCGTTAATTTTGCCCGCCTTTTGATATCCATTTTGTTCGCCCACTTATCAGTGAGCTACAGGTCTTCCTGTTTTTTTTTTATTTTGGTGTCATTGGCATCAAGACCATTAGCCTCGTGTTCTGTGTAGGCTTTGTTACTGTTTCCCAGTGCCACTTTAGGAACAGCATTGTTAATTAGAATGGTCGAGTGGGGAATCCTACCAAGGCATCAGAAATAATTTTAAATAATTAAATTAAATAAAAAAGCCCGGCCATTGGTGGGATTCGAACCTGGGACCCTTGGATCCACAGGCAGAGACTACCACTGAGCCACCCACCCCTATGTCTTCCCGTGCCGACACACTGGAGATCGTTATTGAAGATAGGTTTCAAATCATATTATTTTTACTTTCTTTTGAAATCACCGAGAATTTAATTTTTTTCCTGGGCATCGACCGCCGTTTTATAATTATTTGGATAGCCAGAGAGAATTAGTTCATTTTAATTTTTATAGTTCTTGTGTGCTAATTAATAAATAAATATACCTACAAAGTTCTAAACTGGCGTCCAACGTGGGGCCAAATTGTATAATTTTATCAGGACTTTGTGTGTATCCAGTAAACCACAAATGGTCGGCATTCGCTCGCCCTGGCACCGGTATGTACGGGAAACCGAGTACTCGGATTGCCGTTGTCGGGGTTGCTTCTGAGCCGGGAGGACCGTACCATTTGACGTAATTTAAAAGTAAAAACCGCATATGGTCCATATTTGTCTTTCCAGATATTGGAGGCATCTTAGAATATATATATAGTCAGGAAGGAGGAATCCTAAACGACCTTGAAATCGCGATGGTATCTAATTTTGACAGTGAACTAGACGAATATGGCGACAAGTTTTTCCGGTCTACCAGTGACGTACTCATAAAGGGGCGTAGAAAACTAATAAATTCTCATTTGCATATTATCTAAATTTACCGATTTCTCTCATTTTAACGAATTGCTATTTTCTTGCGAGAAGTTTACATTTTTTTATTAACCTTCATTATGTGAATAAATTTAACTTTAAAATTGCATGTTGGGTGGGATAAATATAGGAAAATATTTTTGGGATAATTTATAGAGGGATTTCATTTGAAAAATCAAAGCAATACTGTATTAAAAAAAAAATATTGACTTTTTTACGTTCTTTATTATGACAATGTCTTTATTAATCGAATTAAATTACCGGTTTTGAGCTTACATTAAATTGTAATTAGATGAAACAAAATGGATTCTATGTATTTTGAGGTGATCTTTTCGAAAAAAAGGCAAAACAAAATGTAGCAGTTTTTCGAAAGTGCCGAAATTTTGGATTTTGTCAATTTTGCGCATGCGCATGTCGCAAATAAATCATTATTTTTAAAACGCAGTTTACGACAATTGAAAGCTTAGAAAAAATGCAAATTTTTATGTCTCCTGAGAAATTTTGATCGGATGCACCGTTCTCGCGGTATGGACGATTGAAATTTGTTTAGTATTTTGAGGCGACGAAGGTCGAAAAATTGAATTTGTTAAATGTTCAAACACTAAATTCTTCATAACTTTGGTAAAAATTAAGATATTTGAAGAAACAAAAATTCGTTTTGAACTTAAGGGATGTGACTATTGATTCCCAGAAGGGGGCAAGAGAAATCCCAAAATTGGGCATATGGCGGAAGGACAAAGTGTACCGCAAGCCTAATTTCATTGTTTGCCTATAACGGCCAAACTATTTAAATTTATTTAATGCCACTTACAGAGCTTACTCTTAAATATGAAATCTTATACGTGTGTGAATTTTACCGAAATCGGATTATAATTGGCCAAGATATCAAACAATTTATCAAATTTTTTTCCTAAAAAAAAACTAAATTTTTTTTCGAAGGTTTGAAGTGGCACAAAAATGCACCCAATGACTCAAAACTTTTTTTTTGAATACTCTATTATGTTTAGAATACGATTAAATTACGGAAAATTCTGCAAAAATATTTTATCTATTCTTGTGACCACTGTTCATTGAGTGACGGCCAAAAAACACGGTTTTTGAGAAACGTTGCCTAAAATTGACGATTTTCAGTTTTTTGGTCTGAAAATTGAGCAAACCCAAATCTCATGTCTTCTCAATGTGTATACAAAGTTTAAAGTGTGTATGTTTCTTCTAAGTTGTAGAATTCTCCCGACAAAAGTCCCATTATACGCGCTCCGCGGGATCCAAAACTCGTGCATTTCTGTAAATTGATTTTTTTGTGATTTCCCGTTTTAAATTTCTTACATACCTAAATTTATTAGGCCTAAAATTTATTAAATTGTATTTTACTGACTTATAAGACGTTTCTTGAGTTTTGTGCAAAAAATAGAATTACCGCAAAATTAGCCGGACGTCGTATCAAGGATAGTCATGATCTCGACAAGTTTAAACTTGAAACGGTCATATTATTACAAATTGAATCGCTTGATAGTGTATATCGGCATAGATTTTTAATAACCGTGTTCAGCAAGCTCTGTGTACACGCGGTTTTTCGGACTTCAGCAATTTATTAAGTAAGTACGTTCTTAAATTAAGAAAATTCTATCACAGTACTATAATTTTTTTGTTTCCAGGTTGCAATGGCTGAACTGTGTTTATTATGTCATCAGAAACTTGCAGAGGGTGAACTTGCCCCAATTAGACCGATAGGATTGAAAGGTCTGCAGATGGTCAGCAAAGAGAGAGAGGATGATTTTTTCAGTTCTTTAGAACCAGGTTTTATATTACATGAAAGGTGTCGCTAACATAACATAGCTCGACGTTACGGAAAAGAGTTTATTTATAAAACCTGGGATAGGCATAAAAGGGCCGCGATTGACAATGCCAAAAAAAAGGAGGATGGAGCATCAACCGAGAAGAAAACCAGATGTTAGAGAACAAAAAACAAGCTTATCACCAAGTTGGAACTTACACTCAAGCTTAGGATTAATTTCCTAACATTTTTATAGTATACCTTCTTGTATATTTTTTTGTGCTCTTTCCGATGGCGCAGTTAGTTTCTTTAAATATATTTTTTGTTACATGTTTTCGGAAAACCCGGAGAAAATCATGGGGAAAAATTAAAAAAAAATTACGCCTTCCGGTTTCCTGCGAATTCCCGAAAAATTATGACTTATTTTATTTGAGAGCCCACAAAAAAATATGCAACTTCTCTCATGGGCACATATGTCTAACATTTATAATTTCGCCACAAATTCATCGCAATTTTCATGTTCATGATTCTGATCAAAGAAACGAAAAAACAACTTTTTGGTAAAAGCACTTCTGGCGGCGAGAAATTCGCCATTAAAACTACCTATGCAATGAAATTCCGAATTATTTTTGCCTCCTCTTTCGATTGGTGCATTTAATTTTACGATCAGAATGATACTTGCCCAGATAATTAGCATTTTTACCATGGAAAATTCCGGAAAACCCGGTTTTTCCTAATTTAAAAAAAAATTGAAAACTGCTACATCATTTTTTTCTTTTTTTCGGAAAGATCACATCAAAATACACAAGGTCCACTTTGTTTTATCCAATTACAAATTAATGTAAGCTCGAAGGGGCTTTTTTTCGTTATTTAATTGGACTATATTAATCTACATTTTACAAATTATTAAGGTTTGAAAAATAAATGTTTTGTAGATATGCGTTAAAAAAATTAAATATCCTATACTTATATTTAGGTCAAACACCGCTGTGATATTTTTTTCTTAGATGTTTTTGTTGGAGTACATATAAAACTTCCTAATATCGAAGAGAATTTCTGATCATTTTATTACATAATATTATTCGTAATATTTTTTGCAGGACAATTTTGCATAAGCAGGTAAAACACCTTTTCCAAGAAAGGATCCTATAACGTAATAATGATTCTG